ATTCAATTCAATTCAATTTGAAAAAATCAAATCAAATTCAAATTGCTTAAATATTTGATTTGATTCGATTTTGAGAAGCCCTAGTATGTACTAACAGTATATAAATCTGATTGATTGATCTATTGATCAATATTGATAATGCCTAAATACTGCATAGTGTTAAAACATGTAAATGTAAATGAAGACTTGGATTGATAGAAACTTGGTCTTCACTGATTAGTCTGTAATAAATACAATCTTACGTCTCACCTGGCAGGGCCCTTATTTCCGTATATGATCATAAGATTGTATATAAATTAAGGAAGTAATTAATCAGAACTTAGTAGATTAAATCAGCGGTGATAATAAACTGCATTACATGCTCGCAATACTATCTAATCAAGCTATCACTAGGGTTAGAGGTCAGATTCAATTCCTAAGTTATTTGATTTCTAGGTATCAAAGTCACCTAATTGATGTGGTCTATATACGTAACTAGAGATCACTGTTTAGGCAAATCTTGTAATACTATCCCATAAATCCTGTGGCTCTTTATATAGTTGTAATCAAGTCAAACTAAGAAATTGAATTCTGACTATAGTTTACTAGATCATTGGTAAGAATAGTGATGACATTCACTATGGCTAAGATAATCCCTCTATCCAAATTTAACAGTACCTTTGATATTTAGTGCCTAATTCAGATTACAATAAGCAGTTTAAGTTACCAGTTAAGATGTTATACTATAGATAGACACATTGAAGGAGTGGGATACCACCATATGGGAGCTTATCAATAGAAAAGATGGAAATCTAAAAAAATTTATTTTATAAACTAATGTTAAATCTGAACTTATTTTTACTAAAAAAATCATATTTAGTATATGAAGTAAAATTTTAATTTTTTTAGATTTCCTCCCTTTCTATTGACAAGCTCCCATATAATATGATTATATTATATGGTGATTTCCCACTTACCCTAGATTATAATATCACCATATATTCTAAATACCACTATATAATCTGAGTATCGCTCTATAATCTAGCTATCATTATATAATCTAAATAATATAATCTAGATACCACCATATAATCTAAATAATATAATCTAGATACCGCCATATAATCTAGTTGTTTTCATACAACGGGTATCTATTTTATGCTCTAGATATTTCTTTAAATTCTTCCTGATATTCATATTATTTACCTCTATATAATCTAACTACCACTTACCATTTAATTTAACTATCACCATATAATCTAAATATCACCATTTCCTTCTTGTTTCTAATCCATTTACACGTTAAATTTTATATTGCTGGTACTGACTTTCTAGTCTTTTTTGAATACCTGGTTCTTTAATAAGAATGCTGACCCTCTGTGACGGTTTGGTTACCAGTTCTATATTGAGAATGTGCGCCTATTTGGTTACCTTTCAGGATACTGAAATGGTGTAAAAAAAAGGTAATAGGTGGCGCAGTAAATTCGTGATTAATTTCGGCCAACACTATGCTATAATTTTGGTCAAATTTTTGAGCATGTGATTCAGGAATCCAGCTTGGCACCATAGCAGTAACCTGATAGTGTCATAGAACTATTGTGGAACTGACAGGGAATTGTCATAGAACTGTTATGGAACTATCGTAGAACTGGCAGGGAATTGTCATAGAACTGTCATGGAACTGACAAGGAAGGTAGAGGTTCTATTAGTTCACCAGTTTTATGTAGCTTCTATGCCAGCTTGAATGCTGAGTTTTTATGTTCAAAGTTTTGACTGAAATTATGGAATAGTCTTAGCTGACATTATTGTTAATTTACTGCGCCTTTTTTTTCTAAAATGAGTGTTGTGAGAAAATACATATATTGTTAGAAGAGTCATCTGATAGTGTTCTCAGAAGGCTTAATGACAGGTGATTCTTTGCACATATATTATTAATTTTCTGCGTCTAAAGTTTTTGTGATACTCTACACATTAATATTGTTAGAAGAATCATATGATAGTAATCCCAAAAGGCTCTGTGTCAGGTGATACTCTATTCACATATTGTTAGGAGAATTATATGATAGTGATCCCAGAAGGCTTGACGTCAGATGATAGTATCAATCCAAAGATAGTTCGCCCAGCATGAATGCTGAATTATTGTATCCAAAAATCTGGTCAAAATTATCATTAACTTACTGCGCCTAAATTTTGATATCACATGACCAGCCTCTAGTCTTTCCCTTCCCCATCACCTTCCCGTAACTTTTAAGGGATATTTGAGAAATATTTGAGTAGCATTTAGGGTTTGGGTTAGTGGATCAGTTGGTTAGAGAATTGGAGGTGTTAACTTCATATCTCTTTTTGGTATACCTCTATATTACGCGAAAGCTATATTATACCCAAGTACATATCTAAGAAAAATGAAGTCTTCTGCCATTTTTATATAATATAATTCTGCAGAAGGCTTCATTTTCAGATACATATCTATTTCTCTTTTATTTACAATTTGCTTACTAGATTACTATACATCTCTTTTTTTTCGAAGGATGAAAAAATTAATTAAACATTTTGGAAATATATTGTGATATAATAACTTTACCTACTGTCAACATGCATACCTCAACTATTTTCGACCAAACTAATCGTACTAGAACTGACCCTCTCGCTCGCTACGATGGTGCTGGCCCTGATAAATATTTAAGTGACTCTAGTGATTATTCTGATAGTGAATCTGATTTGGAATCAGATGATTATAATAACTATGAGTCTAATTATGAATCCAATAATGAAGAAGCTCCTTGCGCTTCAACTAGCATTACTGAGACTCTATTAGTTCAGCTATCAAATGTGCAAGAGTGAAATGTTAATACAACATATACTTTAAGGCAGGAAAAGTTTAATGATAAATTTTCTCCTAAGGATTTGGTAAGTGCCATTTGGGAAATTTTCTCATCACCACCTAGAGATATGTCGAATGATAAAGGATCATTGGAATGTCTCCCAATCTATTCATTCTTCTTTCTGAATGAAAAAGGCTTTAGCTTATATAATGCTTATAACCAAGATGAAGTAAAAGATAAATTGGTTATCAAAATTGACCAAGATGGTGATCGAGCCCCAAAGTTTTCCATTGCAGACGACATTTCTGAAGTATATAATTTACTCAGGATTCATGAATGCATTAATGGTCAAAAGCCTTTAAGAGCTGTGATTGATATAGATGCTTCACAGGAAGATATGGAAACATCTGGTGTTAAGGCACAAAAAGTATTCATTCGAATCTGTTTATCTTTCATAAGAGCTTTGTACTGAATTCTTGATTGTAGTTAGGAAGTTATTCTCAGAGGATTGGTAATCGCTACATCATTAGACCCTAACAAGTGTAGCTACCATATTTATACGTACTGGCTCTTCTTATTGACCATCACGAACTCAAAGTATTTACTGAATTAGTATATACCATAACTGGTGAAAAATTCGGCAAATACATTGATAGAGGATTGCCTGGTCAAAATTTTAACCTTCGCCTAATTGGTTCAGCAAAAAAAGGTTGTGTAAAGCGTATTCTTCAATTTTCACTAGATAATAGCTGGAATAAACTTGATCATGCTAGAGTTCAACCACCTTCTAGCTTGAGACTTGAAGTAAGACCTCATATGCTTAGCACAGAAAAAAATAACAATTCACCAAGAATAATCGTAGATCAAATATATTACAAAAATACGCAGAACTAGTTTTACGAATGCATTCTAGCTATCTTAGGGATTGGACTATTGAAGAAAAAGATTCAGAAAACTTTGTATATTTTAACCGAAAAGCTTTACTAGAATGTTCACTATGTAAACAAAAATCAGTGGTGATTCGGTTGTGTATGTGCTAGCAGTGGGATGTTCATCATAAAATGCTTTTGGTAAAATAGTGATGAACGCAAGGAAGTTTTTGAATGCGACCCATCTATTGCAGAAAAAATTCAGAAAGAAAATAAAAATTTATCTCTCGCATCTCACCTAAAGCTTTCGTAAAAATGCCATCTTGGGTTAAATATAATGAAACTCTTACAGCGACAGAAATATATGAGAAGAGATATGTAAGACCATTACCCAATAAAGGCGATATCTATGTAGGATCACCTTGGAAGACGGGAAAAACATATGTTCTAGAGCATATTACTATATCTGACAATGTGAATTTACTAGTATTATCTATGTGTCACTCTTACTCGAATGCTGTTACTACAAGACTCAATCTCAAATCATATTGTGATATTGATGATAATATAAATCTACCCAATCACAAGAAGGTAGTATGCCAGATAGAAAGCTTACATCAGATTACTAATAATTATAAATGCGGTAAAAAATGTAAATGTCCTCCAATCTAATACGATTTATGTTTATAATACTATAGAGCGCTGACTAAACCACTCCAGGTATTTTACAAATCTACCCTTAAATTTGCAAAATACCCAGGTAGTTTGATACGGGGGTATTTTGTAAGAAGGGGGGTGGTTTGAAAGATTATGTAGATCATCAATATATAAAGTTTTTTGGCATTCCATTTTTTGTATCACGTTCCACTTTTTTTGTATTGCGTTTCACTATTATACTATTAAAATGGTTAGAACAAATAAAAGTGTCAAGCGTTCTAGGTTTACTCTTAAAAAAAAAGAAATTGATCAGTTCGTGAAAAATTAATGGTTTTGCATTTTTAAATAGTTCAAATAGTATTCGTGTTACTGCAAGACATTTTGATTTACAACCAAACCAAGTTCATGATTGGAGGAATAAAAAAGACCAACTTAAAGCCTCTGCACCTCATTTATTAAAATTACACAGTGGTAGACAAGCATTTTTTTTGGAATTAGAAAATGAGTTAGCAAATTGGATTTTGAAATGTAGAGAACAAGGTCTTCCAATTACCAGAAATATAGTGACAAAGAAAGCCAAAGAACTTGCGCAAACTGATAAATATCATGAAAAATATCCTAATATTTCTTCCTTTAAATTTTCAAATAAATAGATGGACTGTTTTATGAATCGTTATGATCTTTCAAATTGTCGAAGAACAATAGTATCTCAGCATTTACCAGAAGATTTACTTGAAAAACAGCAAAGTTTTTTGAGTTTTGTCCTTTATAGAAGAATACAATATGATTACTCACTTCAATTTATTGGAAATATGGATGAGACTCCTTTAGCTTTTGATTTACCTAATTCATATACTTTAGAAAAACACAGTTCTAATACTATTAATATCAAAACTAATGGACATGAAAGAAGTACATTTACAGTTGTTTTGGGTTGTATGGTAGATGGATTAAAATTACCACCTGTTATTATTTTTAAATTAAAGAATATATCTCGAGAAACATTTCCTAATAGTATATTTGTAAGAGTAAATGCAAAAGGATGGGTTAATGAAGATGAAATGATTTAGTGGGTAGAAAATGTCTGGTCTAGAAGAACTGTTGATTTATCTAATCCCAGTTCACTTCTTGTCTTGAATTCTTTTCGTGGTCATTTAGTTAGCTCTGTTAAACAAAAATTACATGAAAAAGCAACTAATATGGCAGTAATTCCTGGTGGATTAACATCAAAATTGCAACCTCTTGATGTATCAATTAATAAAAGTTTTAAATCTAATATAAGTATAATTAATTAATTTTTTATTAGTTTTATATTTATTATTCTATAAATTAAAAGGATTTTTAATTTAATAGATTCGCGAACTTTATAATGATTAGATGACAAATGAAGTTCATGAATTAACTCTATCTGAACGTATTAAAAAACCTTCATATTCTTTAGTATATTCATAGATAAAAGATGCATAGGAAAAAATTGATATAAATTTAATTGGTAGATCATTCAAATGTTGTGACATTTCAGTTAAAACTGATGGTTCTGAAGATGATATGATTTTTGACTATGAAAGTTTTATAGTAGATAAAGAAAATAAAGAAAATAATGAGCTAATTAGAAATAACGAATTTAGAAAGAAAGAATTTAGAGAGAAGAATAACAATAATTGGGATAATATTAATTTTGCTAATATTTGAATAAATAATAAAGTTTTATTTTTGAATTGATAAAATGTGTATTTGATAAATAAATATTGTAATAGTATATTAATCACATGATTTATTTAATTTTATAATTAATTTTCAACTAAAAAAAACCTCACTATTTAACCATCCGGATCTTTTACAAAATTTTGATCTAAAACCTTAGAAGGGTATTTTGCATGAGGAGGTAGTTTAGTCAACGCTGTTAGCTTAAACGGTTCGTCGTTAAGTTAACTAAGATTATTTGCTAACAGGGAGTTTAAGTTCGTCTAAACT